ATGTAAAGCCTGATTATAATTCAATTGTATGGAAATTATATCTGAACATCACTGTATATCATATTATTTATCTGTCAGTATAAGAAATCATTTTGTAGTGAAATGTATACTTTTAATTATTTAATAATTTGCTTATAATATTAGTATATATTATCTTAACAATCTCTAAAACTAACCGAATACGTTTATCAAGTACAAAAAGCTTTTAAGAGTTGCAGAAAATCTGACATTTCCATGTTCTCTTGCTTTTAAAATATACAGAGTGTTCAGTTTTTACTCATCTCAGTTCACTGAGTACGAGTACTAAAAGTTCTTCAAATATCAAACCCTTTTTTCTAACACTCTGTATATATATAAATATATATTATAAAAAGAGGTAGGTAACCAGAAATATTATTTAAAAGAAAAGCATATACATTTCCGTACGTATTTAAACTATATAATACAAAGATGAATTAATAATGAACAATCAAATACATTTATATATAAAAATTGTATAAAAGTGAAAAGATTGTTTATCATAATTCCAATCAATAATTTAGATATTTATATATATTCATTGAGAGTATGTTAAACGTAGCAACGATTTGTTAATTCCATTAAAATGTATCTTTTACTTATTTGATAAAAATCTGTTACATTTTTTAGTAAAAAAAAAAGAAAGAAAATTCGATAAATATGTAACTTAGGAAATGTATTTACAAAATGCATATAACATTAACTTTCAAATTCTAGCTTAAATATACTTTTCTCTCCAATTTGTATTTATAAATAAGGATATTTTAGAATATTGTATTTCTTGTCTCTTATAGGATTTCAATTTAATTTAGTACATGGATAATATACAAAAGATATATATATATAAAAATTGATTAACCATACTAAAACCCATAATGTTTATTTTATAACATATATTAATTTCATATATAATTTATTGAACGCGTGAATTGCAACGTTTGTTTAAACGATACACACACATTTAATACATTTGGTATAAAAAAAAAACTGTACAATGCAATAATTTTGCCAATGTAATTTTTGATTATAATAGTCTTTCTCTCAATCACACATTATTCTCATTCATAGGAGCATTCAAATATACTTACAACTTTCTCTAATTTCTACATGTTTTAGAGAGTAACTATTATATATATATATATATATATATTTATTTCTGCCAACCGTTTTAATATGTTTTTTTCCATGGAATTAACTTCTAACGAGTGTGGAAGTATTTTCTTGTGCATTTGACATTCAGTAAAATGCATACAAGAGCATAAGGAACGTGCAGAATCCAATGATGATTCCAAGAATTAATGAATCTCGTCTTTTCCTTAAATTTATTCTTTGTAATAGGCTACTCACTGCTGGGAATCGATTAGAAATGTCATTAAATCTAGTCTGTATACGTTTGAATGCTTGTCTTTGAGTAATTAAATGTTCTCGTGTTTCCATTGCTATACTTATTTGATCATTGATCAAGCGGTCAGAGCTAAAAATTGAAACGATTTAGTAAAACAAGAAAAAAAGAACTTTTGCACAGTGATACAAGAATATATAAATATATTAGTATAATAAATTCATAATTATCTAGTATGTGTGTATGTAGATTTGCTTGAGTTTGTATTTACTTACTTATGAATATGTTGATTTTCTTTCAAATACATTTCTCTACGGTTTAATCCAGATGTGGTTTTATAATTGCTAAAAAAAAGAAGATACACATTTATAGAAGAAAAAAAATTATTTTTGATGCAACACATACTCTATTTCCTTCCGCACACTACCCAAGAGATCTTCACGATCTTTTCTAATAGCAAAATTGTTCCTAATTTTACTAAATTCCAATTTATAATCTTTTAATATTTCTTTATGACGTTGCATGGTGTGTAACATAGCTGCTCCATTGGGTTGCAATTCGCTCATTTTCTCATTAACGGTAAATAACTATAAAATCAAATATTTACAATAATATACAACTGTGTATAAACTATAAAACAATGACAAATTGCTTACTTTAGATAATAATGTTTCTATCTCCAAGGCCATGTTTTCAAACACATGTTCTTCGTCTAAAAGTGGAACCTCGTCTGGAGTAACATTTTTAGAACGTGTGTTTACACCTAATTTGCTAAACGCTACAAGCTTTGCATCGATTTCATTTTCCAAGTGTCTCGCTTGCTTTCTTAAGTCTATAAATAAATTTCCTTTTGTTATAACAATTTGGAGCCGGAAGATAAAAAATAATGCAAAATTTAACATATATCATGATGTAAGGTACATAAATATATTACTAACAAAATACTTAGGACAATAAAGACTGTAATTTGTCATGAAAGTTCATGAGTCACCTTATATATTTATTATATTATTAATTATATATATATATGTAATGCGTATATATGTATAATATACAAATGTGTATACTTAATCTAATAAGAATACCTTCCCAATCAATTGCATCTAAAGTGCTAGCCATTTGTTTTTCGAATTACAATCACAATTTTTAACAGCACATGCCACATTAACTACGCATATTTATTTGTTGATTATTTTCACAAACGATGTTATAATTGTATTAGGTGGCTAAGATATATTTATATCACGAAAGAAACAACATTTATTGCTAATTTATTGTAATAATTTCATTTGATGTTTTCACGATATGCGCGGTTATGAAAAATCATCGTATTTTAAGTATTGTACAGCGCAGCATAGTATCAATGGACGGAAGTAATTTCTGTCAAAAAAATCACAGTCGGTATTATCGTAAATCACATTACCATTAGATGACCCATGTACACCGGAAATAGGGAAATATATCCAACTTCCGATGGTTTGTAAAAAAAAGTAACGTCCTTTAAAAATAATATACGAAAAAGTTTGAATTAGTTTAGAATTGTAGCCACGAAGTCTTAGCTATACGAGTACAGTATTATATTTCGATAAAATGGCGGACACAGTTTGAAGTAAAGTATTGTATTAAAATATTTTAAATTACCGCTTTTATGTGTTACGTCTAGTTTCTTGTACCATTAAATTAGCAAATAAAAAACCTAATTTAATGCTATGTACGTACATCGAGTTATATATATAGTCACATATAAATGGTATATGTATATGTATCTTCAGTTTGTAGGAAGCGGATTGTAAACGTCCATTCTATGATTGTTGTGCGGCTGTGGACAAAATTTTTTCTATGAGAAAATCAAATCAAGAGACTGTAGATTGTTTTAAAAAATTCGACGATAAAATGGTTAAAGTAAGAGGTATGTTTTCAAAATGATCATTAATAATTTCACTTAAGATTTTATTCAATAATACCAGGTTATGTTTTCATAGATTTGATTTGTACTATCACCATTTTGAATTTCATCTTAGATACTAACGCTCGTACTTTTCTCTAATCTCTATATGAATAATTTATTAAGCGTTAGAAAATCATTTATAATTGTGTTATGTTTAATTATTTTTAAATCATAATAATTAGAGAGGTATACAAATTTCATATAATTTAGATAAAATATATTTTTATTTGTATAAATAATGAGGAAATTATTATTATTATGAATTATTATTATTATTATGATTTATATTTTTAATTCCTTATGTGTCATTTTAAATAAACAAATGATAGTATATATTGTATTTTTAAATCATTCTATTATAATTAAACATTTTAATTATTATTATTATTAATAATGTTTTGTTATAATATGATTATATTATAGAATAATATATTGTATATTAAATTATTTTCTAATTTTTTATACAGAAACACCTGAAGAAGTGCCAATCCATGGGGCTTCAACGCCGCATAGAATAAATATGTTAAATAATCTTGTAGAAGAAACCGATAATACAGGTATCATCAGTGGAAAGAATAAAGAATTCGTTGCCAAATGTAGGCCACCACAACACCTTGCGCGCAAACCTGCTAGAAGAAAATTGATTCTCAATCAAAATAATGTGCAACGTTCAATGCATTCGTCTGTTATTAAAAGTACAAATCATACGCTTACAGAATATTTTCCAGTACGTCGTAGTGTGAGAAAATCTAAAAAAGCTGTATTAGAAGAAAAACAAAGAGACATAGAAACTAAAGTTTTGCAACAGGTTGAAGAAGGTTTAGAAGTAAGCATAAAAATAAAGTTCACTAAAAAATAACAGCTTATATATATACTCTTATTTAATTTTGTATTAATTATAAATATTAATGTTTAGGTTAGACATTTTCCTGGTAAGGGACGTGGGATTGTAACAACACGTTCTTTTGCAAAAGGAGAATTTGTAGTAGAATACATTGGTGAATTAATTGATCAAGTTACAGCGAAGAAACGTGAAAAGATTTATGCTCAAGATCAAAATGCAGGATGTTATATGTATTATTTCCAACATCGTAATCATCAGTATTGGTATGTATATTTGATACCAAAAATAATAATTATTTAAATGAATGTAATATCATTCTATGTGGTCATCTTACTAGAGAAAGTAAATGGTATCACAATTTCAACTCTAATAAATTTTCGATCAAATTTTTGCTGATTAATTGATCATAAAAATACTAAAATATTTGTAGTGTTGACGCTACTGCAGAATCGGATAAATTGGGTAGACTGGTAAATCATTCTAGAAATGGAAATTTAATTGCAAGGATTGTTGAAGTAGAATCGACACCACATTTAGTACTTACAGCGAAAGAAGATATATCAATTGGTGTAGAGGTTTCATATGATTACGGCGATAGAAGTCGGGAAGCTATTCGTTATCATCCATGGTTAGCTTTATAGCACTTTAAAATAACATTTTATATTGTAACAACATATTGATAGTAATCTATGCTGTTACTTCCAAAAAAATAACTTATTATCCCTAGTAGTATATATTTTCAATGCCTGACTATGTGCTGCATTTTTGCAGGATATTAGTGTTCCAAGTATGCTTCTGTATTAGGTCGTGCATTGATTTAGAAAAAGAGATGCATTATTACAAAATATTTTATTTTTACTATTAATTGCATCATTGAAATACAATTCTAATGTCTTTTTCTAGAACTGAATTAACAAGTTATGTTATATTAATGAATTTAGAAATTACCCAATTGAAGCATCTTATGACAATTATAAAATTAGTTGTACTATAATATAATCTTTGAAAGAAATAGTTGATAAACATGTCTTTCACTTAATATAAATGATAATGCCTGATTTTCGAAAGTATTTATATATTGAAGTAAGTTTAGTTATTTGATTTCGTGAATTGATGATTTAAAACTACTTAGTTATATATATATATAAATTTAATACAATTACGATTAGTTTAGTTTTGATTATATAATTATTATTGCACAAAGACATACCAAATTAAAAAAAATGATTCTAAATAGTATATTATTTTTATAACTCTCTAGAATTATTTATTGTGATTGTATGAATTTGATATTAGAAATATCCCTGTGTTGATTTTCACGAAGTATTATATTTCATCTAATTTCATTCATCGCAATATTTAAAAAGAAAGAAAAAAAAAGAAAATATTTATTGCAATTTTTCGTTATGTTCGAAAATAATATATTGTTTTAGAATGATAGGATCTAGTGACTGATTAAAATATTTTATGTAAAAAGCCAATTCATACTCACCTAGTTAATTTAAAAATATATTAATTTAGGATTTTGTTAATGTTCAAATTATATATATTAAACGTACAACTATTCTGTAAAAAATCAAATGCTAAATTTTGTAAACTTCTAATGCAGATATATAATATTAAGCAAAATCTGTTTTACGCATTTTTTTAAATTTTAAAAATATTAATTTTGCTTTGTACGTATTACAGTCAACCAAAACAATGATATGTAAATGTTATATTTGATATCTAAAATTTGACATTCATTTAAAACAAGATCTGCCTATAATTCTGATTAATTTAAAATTAATAATAAAAGAGAATATATTGTATAAGAATATGCAATGTATGTTTAATATAAATTAAGTTTGAAACAAGTGATATATAGGAACATGGTATTTCTTCAAAAATATAGAATAAATATGAATCATTGTACGTATTTTTTAAGTGTGCGTGTGTTATTTTGTTATTATAATATTTCAAAATTTTTTCTATTAACCATGTTCCATACTGCCTTTTTCACATTGTGTATTAAATAATATAATAATAAAATATTCCTGAATATATATATGCATAAATATATAATATTATGTAATCGTTTTACATTTGATATAAAAATCTAGTATTTTCGAAATAAGTGTAGTGTAGTTAAAATGTATTTCAACCAATAGCGTTTGAGATATGTATGACATGAGCGACGAGTACGAGAAAAAAATGAACTAAAAAGTTGTTAGGAGAACCCTACCCCTTTCTTTCGATTAAATGTATCGATGCCAAATTTTAGCCAATAGGATTGCATTGAAATTTCGTATAGTTGATTCCTCATTGGCTAGGTAACAAAAATAAAATATTACTAAGTAATATCCAAATTTCTGATCATTCATAAAATATTACAAATAGAATATAGAAATACGTTAGTGTAACGATTAAGGTATTTTAATAATACTCTGTCGGTATATAAGAAATTAATTCCATTTGGAAAGTCCCTATTGTCGCTTATTAAAGTAGTTTACCCTCTTCACCCCACCTTTAACTAAATGCTTGTAGCAGAATAACATCGTCAGTGGTCGGCCATTATTGTGAAATATAAAGTTGTTCCATATTTGTGTTAAAACAGAAGTATATTAAAATAATTATCATTAGTAGTTTAAGTTTAATTATAAAAATGCATACAATACCAGAATTGGGTACCGGTGTACCTGCCTTTCTTGCTAAACTTTGGAAACTTGTTGAAGATCCTGAGACCGACAACCTCATTTGTTGGTCACCTGTAAGTCGCCGATTTATTTATTACTTACAAATATTCATTTTTGTAAGGTTTAATAAACCGTTTTAAGTCATTTTAAATGTAATTAACATTTTCAAATAATTTTTTAAATCATTATTTGTTTTATTACTTTTTTATCTCTTTCTGTAAATAGTTTAATCAACGAAAACGTAATTTCAACGTTGATTTACGTCGTGTGTATGTATAATGTATATATATACATATTTATATATATATATATATATATATAGCTATAGCTATCATTAAGTAATGTTGAATTATTTCTTTCTTTTTTTCTTGTTTTTTTTAGAATGGACGAAGCTTTTACATACGCAATCAGGCACAATTTGCCAGAGAATTATTACCACATTATTATAAACATAATAACATGGCTAGCTTTGTGCGACAACTTAATATGTGTATGTATAAAAATGTATATTTTTATATAGATGTAATATGTTTAAAAATTTCATATCAGGCTTATAAATGAACGTTATGCAATTTATTATATTTTAGATGGTTTCCACAAAAAAGTTTCCGTAGAATTAGGCGGCTTAAAATGTGACAGGGATGAAATGGAATTTGCGCACCAATATTTTTACAAAGGTCATCCATATCTCGTTGAACATATTAAAAGAAAAGTAAGTGCACTTTATTGGCCTTTATTTATTTATTTAATACTGTCTAATTTTTTGTAAGATATTCTACAAAAACAATGAAAATTGTTTCTAGATTGAATACAAAGTTAAAAACATGGTATATAATAACTCTCTATTTGATTTATAATATATTTTTGCTAGATCGCATCAAATAAAGGCCAAGATCCAGCTCTTACCCCTATTAAGCCAGAACTAATGAACAAAATGTTAACAGAAGTAAGAAGTATGAGGGGTCGCCAAGAACATTTAGATTCACGACTAGGTTCCATGAAAAGAGAGAATGAAGCATTGTGGAGAGAAATTGCGATGCTCAGGCAAAAACATTTAAAACAGCAACAAATCGTTAATAAATTAATTCATTTCCTTGTCACATTAGTGCAACCGTCAAGAAGTGCAGGACTTTCTGTTAAAAGGCGGTACCCATTAATGATAGATGATTCTAATCATCAGTGTAAAGGAAATAAAATTTCCAAGGTTTGCATTTTGTTTAATCATTTTCCTTTCATTTGAATTAACATATACATTTATTATATATTAACGATTATTTATATGTTTAGGCACAGACATCTCCAACGGGGCCTGTTATTCACGAACTTGATTCTTCCGAACCAGATTTAGACTCTGGATATATAGTCGCTGAGTATGTATTCATTTATTATTATTTTAAGTAGTATAATACAAAAAATGTATTTCATCAAATTAGAATAGTTTGAAATGCAAATAAAATGAAATAAAATTTTTTAAATGTATAGTATATTAGATAATCAGCCTCATCCGGCAATAGAAAGCCCCGAACATCCCAATAATGATTCATCATTTATTGATGATGATGGTATGGAAACCATACAATTGGTGGATAATGCGGTTCATTTTCAAAATGACGATATTAGTTTGGAGATGGACACAAAGAAGAAACGACCCTGTAAGGGTAAGAAAAAGTATGTATACTAATAATTTTCTTAAAAAATTATATTATCATTAATCATAATCAATATTTATCGATCTATTAGTATATTTCATAGGATACCATATAAATAATACTAAAGAACATTATTCATTTCATATTTAATCAATGCATTGGCTTCAATTACATTTTCCTTGTCAATTTTAATATTTATTTTCATTCTAATCATATGACTTATTATTAGTATTTGATGATGAAAGATTTATTATGAAACACTATATATATATATATATATATATATATATATATATATATATTTAAATACAATTGATATAGTGTAATTTTATGTCAAATGATATTTAGCCTTAAGTAATTCTCATCATTGATATATTACTTTGAACATATATGTATACATATAATCTTTTATTAAATTATTATTTTTATACATTAGTGCATGATTACTGTCCAAGCCAATGGTATTTCTTATGTAAAATTTATAGCACGTTTCATAATTATTGCATTAGTACTTATATAATTATCTAATTTAAATATTATTAGGAGGAAAAACAAGATGCCTGTCAAAATTTTGATCCCACCGACGGAGAATGGACAAGAGTCAAGGTTAACATTTTCACTTGACATAATTTGGTGTTGGTTTTTCAAGTTATTTCTTTTTTCTATTTTTTTAATTTTTTAATTTTTTATTTTTTATTTTCAAGTAAAAATTTTAGTTGGTTCATAAATATGATTTCCACAAATATTCTTTTTGCATGATTGTGGGAATATTGTAATGAAGAGATTACAATTTTTGTTCTTCGAATAAAAAAAAGAAGACAAAATTTATATAAAAAAAAAGTAAAATTTAACAAGAATATAAGTATTAAGTAAATGTACGTCAATTTGTTGCTTCAATATGTTACAATTGAATTTTGGGGCAGTAACATGTGATCAACAAATATGATATTGTAGGTATAATTTGCATGAACAATAATTAGTTATCACAAATTAATTATATGTGGCTGTTACTGGACATACATGCATATTCACACTTTTACATGATATCATATTTTACCAGATTTATGATTATATGTATATGACAATGTAATAGTTATATTATATTTCTATTACTATTAATTTAAATAGATCCTATATATATATGTATGTATAGGCAAGGCAAATTGATGTGAACAAAGTTGTTGTTTGATGTTATATACTATGCTATGTATCTTCAGTCAGGAAATGAATTCCGTCTTTAGGTTTAACATAATACTGTTTCATTATATTGTCAGTTGAGTTAGAGACATTACATTTAAGATTTATCTTGCATGATACTAGTAATAAATCATCGAACATACCTTTCCTTACATTTCTGCTAAAATGTCAAAAATTAGACAACAGATACTAAAGAAAGAGTGTAAGGTATATCGATCATATGAAACTAAATCAAGATAATAAAGATTCGCATTAGGTTGTCTCAATTTTTAGGGAAGAAATACATTATCTCGAAATACCTACCGTGGAGGACTCTCCTGTGACGGTTGCCTTATTGGAGAACAATACAATAGCTTCTAAACCAGTCCCATTGGCGACCGTTCGTAGCTCCAAGTTAGCAGCTATGGCTGCTAACATGAGTAAATCCAACGAAGTTGAAACCAACGTTGATCTTGAAACGACTGAAATAGACGATGATATTCAAGGCACTGACCCTTCTTTGGAGAAACTTAAAGACATATTAATTGTTCCTGAAGTAATCAATAATAATGATTTGGAGATTGATGATAACAAGGAAGAGAATATCGATAACAATTCTGATAATGAATCTATAAGGCTTCAAAATGATTTAATAAATATGAATAAGGAACAAAATATACTAGACGAAGATAATCAGATTGTTGCAGATAAAAGTGAAGCATCTAATTTGTTGGAGCAACAAAAACATACTTGCAATAAACCAGACAGAAGTGACCCGGTAGACTTATCCTTAAGTTGCGTCAATCCTTCAGGCATATCAGGCGCTAATTACAGGTTAGGATCAATGTAAGTTCAACACAGACCATGGATAATAAGATCAAATTCAGGGTACTCCATTTGATCATATAATGGAGATTTTTATTCAGAAAATTGAGGTGGGAGAAACGAATTTTTATACTTTATAATGATTGCATTAATCAAGTACAAGGAATTGTAGCACAAAGTTTGCTTATATATAAATAGTACTTAACATAACTAGTAATAGTAAATAAATAGTAATTAAAATCAATAAATATATATAGTTTTGACATATATATGCGTATATATTACATGCACGCACATGTATGTATATATACATCAACGACTAAAGTCAGTTGTTTCATTTTTATATTACTACTTTTATTTGTATGTCTCAGCAAAATTAGATTTTAGTAAAGTATTATTTGAAAAATCTTTATACAAGTTTATTGCAGTCTATTCGTATAAAAATTATTATGTTGTCGTTCTATATTTTCCTATATGTTAAATATGATAAAATTTTAAATGTAATTTTTCGACTCATAAGTAATAGTAAAAGTATCTAATAACAACAGTATGTACATCATTAACATAAGATATTTTAGAAAACAGAACTAATACTTAAGTCATATGTATTAAAGTATTAGAAATATTGTTTAGCACAAGTAGTATATAATCTGTTATAACGTTACGTCCTAACTTTTTGTTTCTAGTTTTTTCATTTTTTTTTCATTTTTAAAAAATAATTTTTTTTCTGAGACTTATTACACAAAAAACATTATATGAGTTACATATAAATGTGAGATAAATGTTGACATATTGATATATGCTAAGCTTAGTATATACCAATTTATAATCTTATAAAATTTTGTAATTTATTAATTTCTATATTGATGAGCTAATAATATTGATTAAATACATTTACTTGTGCTCTTGCATCTCTTCATATAAAGAATTATAATTATCAGATAACATTTAATAATTTAAGATCATTTATACAAAGATGGATACTTTTTTGTGGATGATGACATTTTAATGTTTATTGATTCACTTTTAAAACTGTCTATAGGGAAGAAATGGATAATCATCTTGAGACAATGCAATCGGAATTGGAAAACCTTCGAGATATCCTACGTGGTGAAGGATATAGTATCGATGCGAATACACTTCTTGGGGTAAATACATTTTTGGGGGTAAATATACTTCTTTGAGTACATAGATACTTGGGGTAAACACATTTTATGGGATAACTACACTTTTACAAATCAAATAAACAACATGTTATTTATAGTCGATAGAATCCATAATTAATTTATAATTCATTGAATTTCTAGTTATTCGGTACTGATGATTCTTCAATGCCTTTTGGTATATCCGTTAATTCAGATTTAGATATGAACGACGACAGAGAAGATGATAAATCTACAGGTACGATTAATTGCATTTTTCGTTGTAATTCTATATTTTTATTACTTTTCTAATATTAGCTGAATTTCTATAAATATTCTAGACTATATGCATGCATATCATTTTTAATAATAAATAATATAGAGTTACGTTAATATTATATTGCTTATGAATTATAGTTGCTGATTCTTTAAGTGGAAATGGTGGGGGAGAATTAATGGCATATAATCCTGCGCCTAATTTATTAGATTTTGATGATGATATTTTTTTAAATGCTACCGCAGCGTCTCCAGTTAATAATTCAGTAAATGATGTGTCTTCAAGTAATCTATATGCTTCAGATCCCCTTGATCTAGAAGATAGTAAAGCCTCACTTCTTGAATCTTACGTAGGAAGCAATGAAAATGATTCATAAAATCTCCTTAAGGTAAGTTACTCCTTATTGTTACTCTTATTTATGTTTAGTATATAAAATATTAATTTGTTTGTTTTTTTATTTTTACTTTTGATTAGTAAATTTGAATACTTGAACGTTATTGTTACAACACTAAAAGTATATTTGTATTCTGTATAAAATTATTCCTATTTAATAAAAATTATGATTTTAAATGTATATACATATAATTATTATTATACAATTAATTCTTATAAAAAAAAAAGAATTGATCCTTGTTTTATTGCATTCTTTCTTTTATCCTACACTTTAATTAATTTTTTAATAAAACGATATCTGTAAATTACTGTATATTTTATAAGTGCAATTGGAAATATTTTATTAATTTCATTTAGTATGTTTAATCTTTTATTTTTATACAAATAAGTATTAAATCATTGAAAAAGATTTACTGCAATAACATCACAATAACAAATTATTCTACAAATGTCCCTCTTAATATTATTATATTCAAATAGATATATTAATTTTTCTTAAAACATTGATGTAGATGTAAAGTGTACCTCCATTTTATAATGAATTATTAATGAACATTTGCTTTTGTTTACTAATAACGATCATGTCTATAAAAAAATTGCTAGAAAAAAGTAATTAACTTGTTCTTTAATCTTGTAATGTACTATGTATTATTGGATAAAGATATTCTTTCTTTATTTTAGTTTTGGAGGAAAGGCTACTGGATTCTTAATTACCTTACTGGTAATATCTCATCATTTTAATTTTTTTTTAAATAAAATTTAATCAAGAAAAAAAATCCTAGAAACAGTATCGGACATTTATTGTTGGATGTAAAACATAAGTAGTATTATAGAGATTTCTTTTTCTCTCTCTCTCTCTCTCTCCCTTTTTCTTTACTTACAATAGAAAGTATAGCGTTATAAATCAAATAACATTGGTTTCAGCTATATATATTAATAATAATACTAAAAGTTATGAAAAATGAAGAGAAACAATTAATTTTGTTGTATTATTTTACCAATTTTCATTAGTAAAGAAAACTATATACAATGAATCGCAGATATAAGTTATTTTCTTTATATGTTCATTTTTGTACATAAATATAGAAATATAACGTCAATAACAAAGTGTGAAGCCTGTTTTACGCAATGTAGTTAGGTTCATTAAAGTGCAAACTTTCTTTTATATAATTCATTTAAGGAGATAATATACTGTTAGAATGAGAAATTTAAATGACGTGACATATGTAAGAACATGTTAAAAGAAAAAGATATGTTATGTCATTATATTATATTTTTTGCATAACTGTTGATTAGATTATTGTATTAATATTAAATCAAAAATATATACAGTTATAGTGTGTTTGTGTCTAAGAGAGAGAGCTAAGATTTCAGCGTTCGACTTTCATATTTGATATTTGCTCGCTGTCGTCACACAAGCTTTCAATTTATCATAGATATAATATACGTGATCTGTTTTAAAGAAAAGCACACTAATTGTAAATTCGTACATATCTTTATATATCGTTAAATTACGAAGAGTTAGTTTTTTCTTAATTAATTTATTTAATAGAAAATAAAAACAAACAGAAATCATTTTACACGATGGTCGATAATTAAAACAAACGTTCCCAATTTCTTCGTGTGATTTAATCTTAAAACACTGAAATCTTATGCTTAGTAATTATTTATTATTAATATTATTATTATTATTATTATTACATAGTGATTTTTGAATTTATTTTGAACAAACGATTGTAATTATTACTTTGTGAGATATGTAACATATTAATCACATGTTTATTCTAATTTGCAGGTGATTATTTTTTTACGCTTGTTCACGGACAAAGCTTGTTTTGCTGTTAATACATCAAAGTATATCGATGTGTGTACAATATATAGCTAACGGTCAATGATACTTCTTATTTCTTTTTTCTTATTCTTAGTCTCGTTTTTTAAACATTATATACATATATAGAATTAACAAGTTTTTCTTTCATGTTACTATAGTTTTTTTGTTTTAATTATACAAATACGTAATTCTATTTTTTTTGTCATAATACAAACTATGATACGTTGCTCTACTTATTAACATCTTACAATTTTAGTTTATTTTAATTCTGAGTTTAAATAGACATTTAAATAACTAAAGATAATGGTATTTAAAAATAGTTGGCTTATGAGGAATTAGTCGAATATCTTCTAAAAAAATACAAATATAATAGGAGACTGTTTTATAAGCTGTGTATAATAACACTTATTTCTACTTAATAATAATAACAATGTAATTTTTTAATCAGAATACGGAATATGTCAATGCGATATAAAGAATTATTTCCATTTATTTCCTTTTTTGTGTGCTCCCGTAAAATATTCCAAGAAAAAAACAAGTACTATCGTACCCCTGAATTAAATAATTATAAAGAGTTCTATATAATTAAACAATTTGTTATATATATATTCATAAATTCTTTTATAAAGTATTAGATAATTAATATACTTGATTATAGACAATAATAAAATTTTATATACACTTATTTTATTGATTAAAGAAGTTAAAAATAATTAAAATTGGTTATTAAAATTTGTTAGGAAAATTTTTAAATTATTTAGAAGCTTCTTTTAAATTATTTTAGAAAATAATCGTCTCTTTCCTCTTGATTGGTCCATCTCATATATAAATAATAATTTATTTATTTTGTATAAAACGCGTACTAAATTGATTCGTTAATTTGATAATTAGTACCTCCTACAAAGTTAGTCAACAAATAAATAATATCTATAACGATATACAAAAATGTAGTATAGTTCGTACTATACTTACAATTCTATAGTCTAAATAATCCAATAATGTAACAGCTATCGATTTTCTATAAAACGTGTGTATTTTAAAAATACTTTATTAAATATTATTCATTAATATTAAAATAAAATACACGAAGATTTTGTTTATGAATTTTTTGTTGTTAAAAATATTCAAATCATATTAAAAATAGAAATTTAATGTCCATAATATATATGCACATAACAGAGAAAGCTTTATATATAATTTTTATTTTGAAATAATATTTGTACTACGTTTGTCATAAGTTTCTAGATAATTAACGTGTAATTAATAACTACGGATAAAGAGATTTTGACTAGCAATTATGTGTTAATTCTGTCTGTTACATAAATAAAATTTAGATTATTGTTTATATATTTAATTTATAAATAAATCTCTCATATATATATATTGAATTACGTCCGAATGCAAAAAGAAATAGTATTTGTAAGAAAATAAATATTTTTTAGATAATCTATTAGAAAATGATATAATATAATATGTATTTATATCCAAATAAAATCTAATAGAATAAAGAACAATGTGTATACGAGATTAAACATTTTTCTTTAAATAATGGTAATACAAATCATTATTATCCATTGATTAAAATCTATTATCTATTATATTTATTTTACAAAATGAAACACATTTCTAAGTAGCTAAGAGTATAAAAAAAATGATTTATATTAATTATAGTTTCATATTTAATATTTTTTATATTTAAAACAAAAACGCTTACATTTTTAATTTAACTTGAACATTTGAATTAAAATGTTAATTTGTTTTAATTATAAAAAATCTTCGGTGGATGTTACCGTTGCTTCCATAAGCAAACCGAAATCTAATTCGGCAAGACTAGCTAAAATAATATTAGTGAAAAGAAGCAACATTAGTTTACGCATTACATTTAAATATATATATATATATATATATTGTTTATATATTTGTTGTATATATATATTATATTTTATCTTATATATATACCTTTTGCAGTTAGTAGGTCAAGAAACGTATCTAAAGGTGATAAACGATCCGCTGAAGGAAATGCTGCTAAACCTAGAAACAAGTTTTCTTTTATTAGATTTAAGTTGTTATTGTTTTTTGTTATTTCTATTATTTTAAATACTTACCATTATGATTATTACGATGTTGGAAAGATCTTCCACGATTTTGAGCTATCTCACCAGATAAAATATTAGCTGCATGTTCGCGAGCTCTTAGCATAAAGCTGACTGGATGTAACCATTGATTTAAAAGTCTTTTTGCTCGAGATCGCGGTAGCAAAGATAGTAAAGCCAATTTTTTAACAGTATTTTCTTTTGTATCACTTATGTCTAACACAATAGATTCTTATTTATAATAAATATACCTATATAAAATATATGAATGCAGTGATATATACCTGCCATAATAATTTTGGTAACGTCTACTTGAAGTTCAAATACTGCTCTCTGAACATATTGTAAAAACATAGAATAATTTAATGTTTTATATCCAAGATATGTAAAAAAGGAAGTGAATCCTTGGGGAGCAGGATACGCTATATTTTCTAACGCATATCTATAACGCTCCAAAAGCATAAATAATAACCATCGTTTTCCATTATCTAATTGATCACTGAAATGAAATATAAGTATTATAATGTTTCTAAATCATGTATTGTTGTAACATACAAACAATTGAAGGCATATTCTTACATAAGCATAAAACCGCGTTCTTGTTCGATTCGTAAATCAACGTTAGCAGCCCGACAAAGCATGTGACACAAAATACGTGATGTTTCTAATTGTGCAGCTACATATCTTGTGGCCATTGCATGAACTTGTAAAGCTGTGCATGAACCCTGAATATGAGACGTAGATGACTGTGTACCATTCTTCAAAAGATACATTGAAAGCTCGCGTAAATTTACAGAAACGATATGTTCTTGTTTGGAAGCAGTGCAACTTTCACTTTCTGTAAATGGTAAACTGGAATCCAATAACTTGTTGCTACGATTACCTAATAAATCTCCAAGAGCAACTGTAGCCATAACAAATCTGTATATTTAATAATTAGATGATATATTAGCCAGATATAATATAAAAAAAGAAGATAATGTTACGTTAGATGATATTACCCTCCACTTGGAGACATAGGAGTACTGCATCTGGATAATGCCTCTGGTTGATAACACGCCAACGAGACTAACAATTTCTCCGCAATTTTACTCGGCTGAAATCTTGGCTTATCTTTAATATTTTTATTTAATTGTTCCCAAAGTCTAGTCCACAAGTCACTCTGATAAGGAACTAATCTTTGTTGCGGTGAAAGTAACATAACAGATGTATTCCATAATTTTTCATGGCTTAACGTTATATTTAAATCATTGACTTTTATTTCAAAACTCATGTACTCTTCCATAGTGGTAACAGGTAATAACGTTAACAAAGGCATAGCATCTGCAAGTAAATTCTTTTGTACGAGAACATATGATCCGCCAATGAGAATTTCTTGCATGTATCGTACGATCTCCAAGAGTCGTGGTTTTTCTGCCACGATAGATACTAATTCAGCAATAATTTCCATATCATTTTTATGACAAATGAAATAATGTAAAATTCCCAAGCGTACTTCGACAGAAGTTTCCTTACGAAAAATGTCCATAAGAAAATCACTAGAAATAAATAATTCTACAAGATCCAAGGTAGGTAAATCGATGGTTAAAATTTTGGAACCCGAATTAGAAAATATACTACTTCCATCTAAGTAGCCAATTTTATTTTCTGTAATATTATGATAAAGACCAGAAGATTCTTGCTTCTTATAATTTCCTTCTTCCGTATTTTGTAAGTCAAGTAATGGTACCAAATAAGAAGCATGCGATACGACAGGTGTCGAAGAACCACATAATATATGACAACACGGATCGTGATTGAGTCCTATTTCAAGAAGATGTATAAGTAAACCTTGTACGAATACAATCATATAATGATTTTGATATATTGCAAAAGTTGGCCTTATGAGTTTAGCTCGTGACCATGGTATGCCTGGTATAACGCAATGAATGACACAACTGTGATGAAGAAGTGTTACTGAATATGCAAAGTGTACAGTATTAGACTCATTTAAAGAACCAAGTACAGGTTGTGTTTTCATTGGTCTATATAAATAATGATGACAAACACAGACCATTCCTTTAGAATCTGATACCACAATAAGGTCTAAAGAGCAGTCATGAACTCTCAAAGGTATAACATCATCTTCGTAAGTCCCACAATTGGAAGTAGTTGATAATTGAGGTAAGTTTAAAGGGATATTTAACTGAAAATTAAAACATTGTAATAAATAGTTAGTTACAAAGAAATATTTATTGCATAATAAAATATTTACCACTGTTTCATGTGGAAGATCATCATGAAATTGTAGCCCACTAAGCGTTGGATTTGAACGAGTCGATTTTATATTATTTTCATCGTTATCTTCGCTCACTAAACTCGTCGGAATTCTTCTATGATGAATATGATATAAGACTTGATTTATCATATCCCATTGAGCCCAAACAAATTCTTTTACTAATTCCTCGTGTTTTAATTCTTGTATTTCCCATAAAGTTTCAGCTGATGTATCAAATACAACAGTATATATCATGACACCTAGATAAATAAAAAAAAATGATAATATTAATATATAAGAAAAGTAAAATAAATTCAAATTAATTTATTGGTAACTTTATATTACATACTTACATTCTTGATGAAGTAATAATAAAAATTTATCTGTTGTAGATTGTAGTTTCTCTCTATATAAGAATTGAATACGCACTTGTTTGGATCTTTCAATTTCTAAATCGTAGAGTTTTTCTGTGTCAAGTTTCATTACATATGCTTGATAAGTTTCTACACTTACAGTCGACTCTTTTACTTTAGAATTATTTTCTTCAATAGATTCTACAACTTTTTCAATAGTCGAATTTTGCTTAGTCACATAGCCAAGTAAAGAAGAGCTTTGATTTACTGTAGCTTGAACAATATTCAATATCATTTGAAAACGATGTAGGATCTAGAAAATATAATTCTTATTGTCTCTCGTAAATTATATACAATTTTAAATGCAATATTTACCTGTAATTTATTTTTAATCCGGTCGTAATGGCCTACAACAGTATATTGCGAGACTGTATCGTCTTCTAATAATTTTTCCTCCAGCCAACAAATAAGCAGAGATCCATCTTTTTCTTGACCTAAAAGTTTCCATTGTTCGGCTACAAATGAAAATATAGATTATGCATTAGCTAAGAGAAATATCAATGGAGAATTAATATATTAGTTACAATATTTATATATATATATATATAAAGTTATATTATATAGTATTTATTATAAATTACAATATAAGTAAGTAGTAAGTATATACACAGGGTCTTTGATCTAACTGTAGCACCCCTTAAATATATCGCTTATTTTTTATGATAGAAAAAATGTCAAGAGGAGAAAAATATTCTGTTCGAAGGCTC